AAAGAGAAAAACCACATACAAATAAATGTTTGAATTCATTAGTAAACAGAGAAATGCAAATTAAAATAGCCACAAGATATCAATCATTTTATAACTGTAAGGGCGAAACATGTTAAAAAACTGGATAACACCAAGGGTAGGTGGGTATGTGTGATACAGGAGCTCTCATGCATTGCTGGCGCAAGTGTAGGTATACACACTTCATTCTGAGAAGTTGCCTGCTAGTTCTTAGTTAATTTAATACATACATACCCTATTATCCATCAATTCTCTCTTGGCATTATATCCCAAAGAATTGTCATACAGGTCCATAAAGGGATATTTATGCGGCATTATTTTTGGCAGGGGAAACTGGGAAGCACACCGGGTTCCGTCTTTGGAAAAAATAGGCAAAATGTGGATCTACGCCATGGATGGCAAACAGAAGGGAAGGACTCCAGGTACAGAACACGTTCCATGATGCTGAGTCAAAAGAGTAAGGAAAGTAGGCAACAGACATATAACGCTACCAGTTGTGAAAATTAAAAATGCATACACACATTCTACAGGAGTACACACAAACAAAACCCACCAGAATTACTGTCTGTGGAGGGGATGGGGAACTGAGAAACATGATTGAAAGGGAAAAAAGTTTTAAAAATACATAAATATATGAATCAAGGAGAGAAGGATCTAGAATCAAGGTGGAAAGGTATGTGTTTAAGTCAAGACTTTGCTCTTCAATAATAGAGGGCAAGTCATTTGACCCCCATTTGACCCTGGGGCCCAGGTTTCCCCATCTAAAAGTGGTGACAATATGCCTCTCTCCTTGGGGAGCGACAGAGAGAACCATACAAAATGACTTACCCAATGCTTTTGGCCTGGGGTTTGTTGAATACTTTTATGGATACTTGAGATCTGTGATATTCTCCTTTATAAAGTGTGCTGAATTCATCTTCCTTTAGCAGGATCCATGGGGACCCTGTAAGCTCCTCCTTCTTAATCTCCTTGACTTCTTCTGGAGGGATCTTATGCGTGGGTTTTGGTGGTAGGTCTGACCTCAGCCCCAGGACAGAAGAAGATAAACAGTAAATGGGCTGTGGAAAGGGTCCTCAGGGAAGTGGCATCTTTGTGACATGTGAGTGGGAAGGTCTTTACCATGAACCAGAGCTGGCCCTTGCTGGAGCAGAATTCTGGCTGACTCAACCCAGGGGAGAGGTTCCAATGCCTCTGGGTGACCGACAGAGGCACAGCTATGTCGTGCATATCCCTTCCCTCCTCTCCAAACCCTGCCCATCTCTCCAGCCTCAACCCCCACCCAAAACCCTCTCTCTCCTCCCGGAGTTCTGTCTACTCCTGTTGCCACACAGCTTGGCCCCTGAGCCCTAGCATCTGGTCTTGTCATTTTAGATCTCATACTTAGGGACAAAGTTGAAGCTCAGTAACTTCACTGCTGTTGTGTATTCACTGTCTGTCTTTCCTCTCCCCTCCTCCACCCATGGCTGGGAGCTCCTGGAAGGCGGTATCCTTTAAGTTTGATTTGAATTTCTTCTTAGAAATTCAGCAAGTGAAGTGAAGCTTTGATGCTATTCATAGGGGAAGTTTTTAGCATTTTGATAGGTGCTAGAAGATACCTTGGTGGTTGAGAAGCCCCCTTCAAATGCCACCATGTGGATGGAAGCCTGGGCTAGCCATGAATGCATCCCCAAACCTGTGGGCTGCTTCCTGCCTTCCAGCACAGAAAATGACAAGGGCAGGGGCAGGGGGAGGCTGGAGTTCCAGTAAACTGATGACTTCTAGTTTGGGCCACTGGAAGCAGCAGGGCACCTGGTAACTTACACTGCCTCAAGGTTTCCTTTATTTCTTTCATGGTGCTTTCCAGCTGCCTCAAAGAAGCTTCTATAGTTTCAGTTTCTGCAGGAAAAAAAGGACAGCAAATACTCAAAAATAGAAATGCAAATTAAAACCACATGCTAATCAAAACCAAAATGCTAATTAAAGCCACTGAGATACCATTTTTTACCTCTCACATTCATTGTAGTGGGAATGGCTATTGCTCACCAATATTCGGCTTTCTACTTCTAAGCACATAGGAAATGCCTTGAAGCATGGCCATGTGACTTGCTTTGGCCAAGAAACGAAGTGAAAGAGACATCTGTCACTTCCCTGAGGAAGCATTTCATTGACTCTTCTCAAGGTTCCAATCTGGCTTCTTTGGGAACGAGGGAAGTTTGTGTCACCACGAAAGTGCCATACTATTGAAAGCATTCTGGAAAGAGGACAGTCACCCAGTCACCTGGGAGAGTGTCCTGGACGTTGCCTGAATGAGAAATAAACTTGTTTCCTTATGATGCTGAGTGGCTGTTCACTGTACCCAGGAGGTTCATCCATGTGTGCCCCACCCTTTCCTCACTCCCTCTCTCTCCACCCACAATCCTTACAAGAGGGAAGGGTTTGAATTCATATCACCAGGATCTGCCAAAGTGTAACGAGGCCACGCTGGTTTCCATCTTTCCCTCTCTTCCCTCTTCTGGTGGTCCAGGCTCTGCTTCCTTCCCCCACCTCCAACCTAGCCCACGCTTCTTCCCGTTAGGGCCTTGCTCCCCACAAAATCCAACTAGGGCCACCCGAGTTCAAGCCACTGTCATCATTTACCTAGCCTCTAACGTAGTCTCCTAACTGGGCTCACACTTCCATTCCGGCACCGGGGGTAGGTTGAATTATTGACCCCAAGCCTTCCTCCCAGGTAGTAGTACCATATGTCCACACCTTTGCCATAGCCTCGTAGTGGGCACACTCTACTTCCCTGTCTCTTCACGTTGGGCTTGGCAACATGACCTCCTTTGCATGTTGGTGGACGTGACATAGTAGAGACTTGAAATGTGCCAGCACAGCTGGGCTTGCCTTCTCGCAATTCATCAGGTACTCACTGTTCCCTCAGCCTGGGCTTCAGAATGAGACGGGAAGAATGGACTCAAATTGGCCCTGGTGCCTGTAGCCACGCCCAGCCCAGCTCACCTGAGATCAGGAAAACCCCAACAGATCTGCATACCCCTGGACATGAGAGTTAATCATCATTGTTTTAAGCCTCTGAGTTTTGGGGTGGTTTGTTATGCAGCATTAGTGCATCAGTAATTGACTAACACATCCCACTATAGTCCAACTGAAACATGGCAGCCAGAGGGATGATTTTCTTTTAATCCAAATCAAATCATGACAGGCTCACGTTCCCTTCACTGGCTTCCAATGATTCTTAGAATAAAGCCTTAATTTCTGCTCAAACCTACACAGCCTTGCATGTCCTGGCTCCTGTATCTCCTGGCCTACTTCCCCGCTTTCATCTGGTACCACTTGCTCTCCCTTGCTTACTGTGCCAAAGCCACCCTGGCCCCCTGGCTATTCCTGGCAAATGCCATATTTATTCCCACCTCAGGGCCTTTGCTGTTTTCTCTCCCTGGATTTCTCTTCCCCCTTATCTTTATATGGATAGCTCCTTCTTATTATTCAAGGTGTCCATTCAAATGCCACCCCATCAGAGAGTGGTCACTTTGACCACTCTCTCTGTACCCATTGTCACTTTGTGTCTCATTACCTCCTTTATGGTTTTCATTCCTTTAGATAAAACAATTTACTCAGCTCTCTATCAGCAGACTGTACATTCCATGAGGGCAGAGATCTTGTCTGTTTTGCTGTGCGCTGCTGCATCCCTCACACTTACAACAGTGCCAGGCATGCTGTACACAATTTATGTTTCTTAGTTAATTCTTCTTCCTGGACAGTTTACAGCTTAACTGAGGATCCTGGGGAAACTAAGGCTGGAAGGAGCTTCTGGAATCCCAGGTATCACATCAAAGAGAAAATGCAGAGTCAAAAGAGACACATCAGTGTCTTCTCCCCTCTCCCACACTGGCTCGCCCACATTTCACCGGCCCCCACCATAGCTGGGCCCAGGGATGTTAGTTCTGAGCTACAAGTACACACAACTGCTCAAACTTCATCCTTCCTGCTCCTTTGCGAATTAAAGTGAGACTAAAATGCCCCCAACTGCACCCTCACCCTCCCCCCAAAATCCAACTTACTCCTCAGAATTTGGAAAGCTCGCAAGTCTTCCTCTGCGTCCCCCTGATCTTCTCGTAGCCAGGACGCTCTTCGGCTGACGCTTAAAGCAGACATCCGCTGGTCAGCCTGAAGTAGCAGCGAGAGCGCCTCCCGGGCATCACTCAGCTTCTCGTTCACTTCCTTGAAGAGTATTTTGTTTTGGCCCGACAGTAGAAACTTCCACATTTTGGCCTTATCTTTGAACTTTTCTATCTGCTTCTTAGCCTCCTCCAGGGCAGCCTGGAACCGGTCCAGGGCGGCGGTTACCTCCTCAGGGGGCAGGTTCCCATTTACTTGCTTCTGGAGCATCTCGAGAGCCGGGAGCAGGCTGAGGACACGCTCCCCTAGACGCCGGCACTGTCTCTGGCAGTATTTCATCTCTTCACACTTTTTGTAGATGAGATTGCATAAGGAGATGATCTGCCCCAATCTCTCCATAGCTGGAAGAAGTGGATAGGACTTGGTGAGGTCCAGAATCCCCCGTGTATTTACTACTTGGCTAAGGGAGGCTCACAGAGGTCTGTGATGGAAATGCCTGAACAGGTTTCCCCACCATTTGCATGGAAGGTAGAGACGGCTTGCTGCCCACCAAAATCTGTTCTGCCCTTCTATAATAGCAGAGTTGTAGCTGGCAAGCGCAGGTCCAGCTGGGACTGCATCTCCCAGCCTTCCTGTGGTTTGATATGGCCACGTGACTAGTTCTCACCAATGGGATGAGTGCACGTGACATGTGCTACCTCAGGTTGAGGCAGCTTTGCCCCCTCTACACACTCTTCCCTCTGCCACTGGGATGCACAGGACGCTGTGGCCCTAGAGATGGTGGAGCCCCAAGAAGGAAGAATCCTGAGTCCTTGGATCATCACTTGGAGGAGAGCTACCCACAGACAAGGAACATCTGCTGTGAACTGTTAAGTGATAGAGGAATAAACTTCTATTGTGTGTGAGCCATTATATTTTGAGGTCTATTTTCATATCAGTTTCGTCTAGTCTAACAAATATATCTTGCTAAATTATAGGGCTTTCGGGGGTCAGGTGGGTAACTCACATGAGTAAAGTGAGCTGGGCTGGGAATAGTCTACTGCCACAAAGAAACATGCTTCCTTGGGTTTTCCTTGAAACATGTGGACTTCCTTGTCTGTCTTTCATTTGTCTAATTTTGATAGAGGCAAGAATACAAAAAATTGCTCATTTTCTTCCTAACGTCCTGTAGGAAAGAAAGCAGCATACATGCAATGATAAAGGCAACTGACTCCTGGTCTCATCATCACGAAAACAAGAGAGGACTGTGGGTTGGAAAGCGCGTGCCCTGTCTAAAGAAGACAGGAGTTACCTACCAAGTCCCCATCTGCAAGAATAAAGGGCCCAGCAGTGGAAGACCTTTCCAGTTTTTCAAGAGCAGCCAGAAATCTGGATTTTTATGTCAAATCTCTTGATTTTAAATCTTGCAACCAAGTCAAAAACTGTGCAGTCCAACACCATGTGGGCCAAATAAAACACGTCTGCCAACTGGGCATTGCCCGTGAAGCCCCAATTTGCAACCTTGACCACAGTTGGCCAAGGATATTCAGGATTGCAATAGAAGTTGGTTTCTGTCAATCTCAAATTTTTCTTTTGTTCTCTTTTTCCAGTGCCTGAGAATCTCTGCCTCCCTTGTCTTCACTCCCAGCCCTTTCTGTTGTGCTTGTAGCCAGTTGTAAATTTGTTCTACCTTCCTCCACCCCTTGGCCTAGACATCAAAAAGACTTCATTGTATAAGTGCTTCCCCTTTCAGAGGCATTTGCAATGAAAGATTCAGAGGTTTTCCAGGTCTGGAGAACTGTGGTGGACATTTGTCTTGCCTAGAAGAATCTATTTTTCTATTTCCTCTTACTGCCCAGATTGTCTGTGGCCCTCTGCTCCTCCCCGCTTCAGCAATGTGTTAGTGTGGAAGTGACCCCACCCTTGGTTCCACAGGTGAGATGTGATGAGTCTAAGCCAGTGGTTTTCAGTCAATGGTGATTATTCCCCCCAGGGGATATCTGGCAATATCTGGAGACAGTTTTGGTTACCACAACTGGAGGATGGGTACTACTGGCACCTAGCAAGTAGAGGCCAGGGGTTCTATAATGCTCAGGAAAGCCCCCACAACAAAGACTTATCCAGCCCCAGACATCAATAATGCAGGGGTTAAGAAACCTTGATCTAAATCGTCAGAGAATTCCTAATAGCCTGCCATAGTGATTGGTTCAAAATTGGGCACCTGAGCTAATTTAGGTGGTGGGGAATGTTTGCTGCGGAGGTTCCTGGCTCCTCTAAGAAAGCCCAGGAAGCCAGTTACTTACTCTCAACCTCTCTCTTCCCTCAGTCCCTTTGTGATTGAAACCAAATGATCCTAAGGTTCATTTGAAACAGGAGAGTAGTAGGGATAACCAGGATTTAAAAAAAACAAGAGGACTTACCTACAAGATATTAAAATATATTGAAAACTGCAATAAGTAAAACTGTTTAGGGCTTATTGAGTGTATGATAAGGACATCAAAGGGAAGAAAGGGAATATAAATACACACATATTTTGACTCAGCAATTTGAATTTTAGGAACTTACGCTGTAGAAAGCTTGTGTGAGTGTAGATGGATGGATACTAAGATGTTCACTGCAGTGCTATTTACATAACAGGTGAAACTAACAATACTAAATATGTTCATATGTTACTTGCAGTAAAACAATGAGAAAAAAGGTTACTAATTTTTTTGAGACAGAGTCTCACTCTTTTGCCCGGGCTAGAGTGAGTGCCGTGGCATCAGCCTAGCTCACAGCAACCTCACACTCCTGGGCTCAAGCAATCCTTCTGCCTCAGCCTCCCGAGTAGCTGGGACTACAGGCATGCGCCACCATGCCTGGCTAATTTTTTCTATATATTTTTAGGTGTCCGATTAATTTCTTTCCATTTTTAGTAGAGACAGGGTCTCGCTCTTGCTCAGGCTGGTCTCGAACTCCTGCGCTCAAACAACCCGCCTTGGCCTCCCAGAGAGCTAGGATTACAGGCGTGAGCCACCGCGCCAGGCCTAGGTTACTAATTTTAAAAGTGAAAAATCTTAAAACGGTAGTAACAATATAAGTCCTTCCTCGTCCCCTCCATAGGTCACTTTCGTGGTGCCTAAAATGGGCCCCAGAAACGGAAGGAGGCGTTAATCCTTAAGAATTGGAATCATCTAACTTGGAAATTTCTCCACCGACCAGCTGGAGTTCGTCTGTCCCCGGCTGCTTGCACAGTTCCGAACCAGTTCCCGAGACCCCTGACCCCGCGCCCCCCACCTCTGTTCCGCGTCCTGCTTTGGCAGAAGGGGAAGATCAGAGCACGCAGCTCCCCCACCAGAGCGGAGGAAACGAAACCAACCCGGTCTGAGTTCCAGGAATTGTCACCTCCCCACCCGCACCCCGGGTTCTCCCATTGCCGCCCAGGTCTCCGGCTGCAGCCCCTCGGCCCGCCGCCTCCCGGGACCGCGCCGGGGGATGATTCCAGGCTCACCTTTGTCCCTCCCGAGGGATGTGCGTCCAACCCGTCCCGAGCACAGTTCGGAAAGCCCGCTCCTCCGGCTTCTCTCCGACGGCCGCCTCCTGCGCAGGGGAGAAGTCAGAGACCGTGAGGTCCCGCGCGCCTCCTTCCCTCGGGTGGCCCGCGCTCTGCGGGACTTCACACGTGGCTGCCGGAGACCGGCCGGTCCCGGTCCCGCCCAAAATGAAATCCCGGCCACTACAGCTGCGCCAGAGGAGCGTCCTTCCAATCAGCCTGTTGGACGGCTGTTTCTGTCCTGCGCACTCCGGGCCTGGGCCTGGGGGGAGGCTGTGACACTCCTGCCCCCACCCCCCAGCTGCCAGGCTCCCTAGAAGCCCTTCCTGGGCAGCTCAGAGCCAAGGCAACTTCCTCCGTTTGCACACTGTGCCAGACCCTCCCCAAATGCACTCGGTTACTGTTTATGGAGAACTCACGGGTGCCAGGCCTTCCGCGTGGGGCTGGGGATTCAGAAAGGAATAAGGTCCCAGCGAACTATTATTATCACCACGACACAGTACGGGAAGCATGAGAGTAGGTTGAGCAAAAACATGTGCTGAAACTGGAGAGGAAGTTCTTGTGTCCGCTCTGTGTGCCGGCTCATATTGGGCGGGGTGGGGGGCAGAAGGAGGGAGGGAGGGAAGAGATACACTTCCTCCTCTAGGGCCACTGCAAAGCTTTCTGTCGGGGTGTGAGTCATGTTTTATCAAAGTTGGCTGCGTCCTCAGCTGGAAAGTCTAAGCAATGCCATTCGTTTACTTATCGGACTATTTTCCTCTGAAAGGACAGACTTGGATTGTATGGAAAGACTTTTTGGGTTGGGAAAGCACGGGTGGAGGATGTCTGGGGTTTTTGTTTATTCATTTATTTGTCCCTGCTATTGCACCATCAGTTTTTTTCTTGTCTTAGGTCAGGAGATTCAGGTATGAGTGATTTATTGAAGGAAGGCTCTCAGGACAGAAGGTAGGATAGGGCAGGAAGGAAAAAAAGCTAAACAAGGATGTGGTCTCAGTGGAGATTAGTCACAGCCAGACTCCATGGGGAAGTCAGGAACAAGAGGCAGCTTCCACTTGGCCCAGGGCTGTTCTCCAGACAAGGGGGCAGCTGTGTGAGCCCTAGTAATTGTCAACACTCATAGCAGCTGTGGGATGGGTACGCTGGTCTCACGTAAACAAAATCATAGAGCATATAACTTTTTGAGAGTATCGTTTTTACTATCCTCGTGGTTTTTACTATCCCACCATCAATATTCAACACATCTGGTCCCAGCTACTCAGAAGACTGAGGCAGAAGGATTGTTTGAGATTGCAGTGAGCTATTTTTCTTTTGAGACAGGGTCTTGCTCTGTCACTCAGGCTGGAGTGTCGTAGTGTGATCATAGCTCACCGTAACCTCGAACTCCTGGGCTCAAGCCATCTTCCTATCCTCCTGCCTTAACCTCCCAAATAGCTGGGACTACAGGCACACTCCACCACACCAGCTAATTTTTAAATTTTTTATAGAGACAGGGGTATTGCTATGTTGCCCAGGCTGGTCTGGAACTCCTGGGCTCAAGTGATCTTCCGCCTCGGCCTCGAAAAGTGCTGGGAATATAGGCGTGAGCCCCGTACCCAGCCTAGGTTTTGATTTTTAGGGAACCTAAATTAAGATAGAATCCTACCTTCATGCCTTTGCTAGGACAAGATTTTTTCTTATTTCTGATTTCTTCTTTTTCTCTGCTATAGATGTCTGGGATGGAGTAAAGATGAGAATCCTGGCATTTTCTAAATTTTACATTCATCTTATATTAAATAGCATCCTTTATAGATAAAATTTATTCGTTGGGCAAAGCACCTAACTATAAAGAAAGGTCTCGTTGAAATTTTGCAACCGTTATAGCTTTTTGGAAAGTTAGAACTGGAAAGTTCATGTACATACAGCACAGAGGAAGTTCCAGTTTCCTCTCAAAAATGGCAGATGAGTCAAGAAAGTACGTCAAGAGAACAGGTAAAGTGGGAAAGTGCTGGAATTTTGAAATCACAGATACCTGCTTCCTAAACTGTCACTGTGAAGGCAGTCACAATGGGACAGGGCTGTGTGTTGCCATCAGAGGGCGGCAGAGGCCAGGGAACGTGCAAAGACCCGTTAATGCTGCCAGCCAGAGATTTGATGGAGACAAGTCTGGCATTTAATAGGGCCCTGTTACAAGTTGGTCGTTGTGCTGCGGACAATAAAAAAATGGTACAGAGTTCAAAGGCAGAGATTGGAGGCCAGAGCCAATGGAAGAATGGAAAAGAGCTGAATTAAGAGAGCAGTTCTTCAGGTCAGCCAGAGAACACCCAGACATAAACACAATACCAGAAATAAGTGTTATGGCTCTGGGCCTGGCCTTGGCCAGGGCAGCTGGGTCATTGCCAGAGAATCAGGTGAGGCAAATTGCTCAGATCACCATGGGTCAGTCAACTCACTGTACACTGATCAGAATTGAAATCCTCCTCGCCTCCCCAGTAAACATTAAACTTTTTTGATAATTTTTGTGTCTTCTCCCAATATAAGAAATAAACACAATCACAGGTTGTAAGTTTCAGGCTTTTTCCACCATGCTAGATGTGTTGGCATTTTGATAATGTCTCATGCTTGCTTTTGCATCCAACCTTTGACCCTGACACTTGATAAGATTCTCTAGCCCCTCTAGGTGGTCCCTGATGTCACGGCCACACTATGAGCACCAGATACCTTGAGATGGGGGGGCCTCGTAGCCCGTCCTATATTTTGCTCTTCTGTGAAGGTGAAGGTGATTGCCTCTGGACTCTCATTGCCCCTCTGTAAGGTGGGGGGCTTGCTCTCTTCCCAAGGCTAATGAACCTTCCTAACACCTGTAACTTCCATTATAGCCAGGAGCTCTGGGGATGGGGGGTCCTTCAGATGTTCACTGATTGGACCTTTTAATTAATAGGCTGGCTTGGTTTTGTGTTTTCACTTTTTAAATTTTTTTCCCTAATTCTTCTCATTACTACACTACAAACTCACTTACATTTTGGCTTCTTCTTCTCCTGCTCCTCCTCCTTCTTCTGCTTCTTCTTCTTGTCTCACCATGTCACCCAGGCTGGAATACAGTGGTAGGTTCATGGCTCACTGCAGCCTCGCACTCCTGGCTCAAGCGATCCTCCTGCCTTGGCCTTCCAAAGTGCTGGAATTCCAGGTCTGAGCCACTGTGCCCAGCCTGTTTCATTTTTCTTAAAGAAGCTGAGCCCAGGAGTTTGAGGCTACAGTGAGCTATGACTGCACCATTGCACTCCAGCCTGGGTGACAGAGTGAGACCTCGTCTCTAAAAAAATTTTTTTTTCCAAAAAATTTTTGCTAAAATGCACTCATCTTAGACTTTTCTCTGTGGACTTGTGTGTTGACAGCTGTGTGTGTTGACAGCTAGCCAAGTTCTTCCTTTACTCCTCTTCTGTGTTTTTCCCTTCCCCTGAGTCTCTAGTGCCAGATTTTCAGTGTCGTCTAGTAAGTGGAGGTAGTAATTTCTGCTGCTTGGATGGGCCAAGTTCCGATGACAGGTTTTAGGAACTTGAGTGATGCGTGGCACAGACGGGTCCCTTTTTCTCCTCAGGCCGGGAGCTGCAGGGATAAAGCTGCCCCCATGGGTGCTTGAGCAGGGAGAAGCTTCTGGATTCTTGGGCAGGTGAAGCCAGGGTCAACCCCCTCGGACCTACTGAATTAGACTCTGAGTGGGAGGCCTCCGAGCTGTGCTCTGATAGCTTCCAGGTGGTTCCAGAATGGTGGTGCAGAAAGCGTATCACTGAGCTGGCCTGACGTTCTGCTTCCCACTATGGGCATTTGTTGCTAGAGCCTGTCCCCCTTTGTTTAGGAAAGTTGACTGGAGGCTCAGTTGGGGTTGGATAAATTCCAGAAGAGACCCCTCCGCAGTGGCGTATCAAGGTGGTTTGTGAGAGCAATGCTCCCCTCCCGCCCCCAGGTGCAGGCAATAAGGGAAGATGCTGTCTGCGGAGAATTTCAAACAGGAACAAAGTTGAATAAAAGAATGAGTCGGTCAGCTTTCTGTCGCCACCATGCCCCAGCAATTCTACGCATCCTGCTCAGTGACAAAATACTCCTCCGGTTGGACTGACCACCCACCACTGCCCCTTCCCAATTGCGATGGACTCTAAGTCTCCTTCGTGGTCCAAATGAGCAACAACTCTTTGTTGATTTCTTTTCAATGTTTTATTTTTCAAAATATACAATTTATTTAAATTTTTATCTCACAACTGTGTAGTTTTGTATATTTATTCCAAAATCTTTAAATAGCTCCATAGTAAACAGTACAAATCACAAGATCGGTCAAACTGCTTCTTTTTAGCTTTTACACTCAGCGAGTTTTTAAAATGTTTCAAGTAGTAACGGTGCGTGGGTAAGAAGGGAACAAAAAACCAGGAGGAAACAATTTTTTACATAAGCTCAACATGTAGGATTAGAAAGGGCCGTCTGACCAGCTACTTGGTCTATGGCCAAAGAATATTTATATCGTTTATAAATAAGACCCTCTTCAGAGCAGTGAGGGTTTTGGTTACGAGGAGGAAGGGCTGGGAACCTCGTCTGCCAGGGAGATAAGGCACTGCTGGGAGGGTCCTGAGTGGGGGGCAGGGGCCCACCTGTGCCAGGTGGGGGCCAAGAATGGCCAGGGACGGACAGGGTGGGGCTGCCACCAACAGAGAGGCCTCTTCCGCTGCGCTTGGGAAGAAGTGTTGTGATTCTGGAAGCAGGGGAGGGACGGCTAGAGAAGCCGGTGGTTCCTGCAGGAAGGGGCCAGGGCTCCCACCTGCCACCCCGCGCCCGACAGCACAGGCAGGTGAGGGAGGGCCATGTGAGCACCAATGCATGGCAGCCTGGGGCAGCTGGCAGTACAGCTGGCATTTGTGTTGGCAGTGGCCAGAGGGGCTGTCCTGGGGCCTGGGGGAGGCTTCATGCTGCCTCTCCTTGTGAGAGTCCTTCTTCCACCTCAGAGCCACCAAACCCTCCCCAGGAAGGGCAGGAGGGGAAGACGCGGCCACAGGCCCCATAGACCTACCCTTGCTGTGAACACAGAGCTAGACGTCAAGGGGAGGCTCCTAGGGAGCCTGAGGCGCTAAGGCACAGGTGGGACACAGGCATGGCCCCAGGGGTCAGTTATCTTCATTCCCCTTGGGGCGGCTACCGTTGGCCAGGTCCTGAAGCAGTCCTGTGGGCTTGGCTGTAGGCAAGGATGCTCCAGAAAAGGCCTGGTCCTGGGGGCCATCTGGCCACCAAGTGGATGGGCCCCTCCTGGGGCGGGTAGGGGGGCAGTCCTGCCCCAGGGTCCCCTCCACACCTTCCACGAAGCCCCAGGCCTGACAGAGCCTGTCCTGCCGGCTGAGCCAACCTTCTTAGCAGGGTCTGGATGGGGAGGTTGGGGCCGGGCAGGGTCCAGGGCCAGGCTGGGGGCAGGATGGAAGGGCAGGAGTTGTCACTGTGTCTTCGGGTCAGGTTCCTCTAGGATGAGGGTGTGGAAAAAGTAATCCCACAATTTAGAGCTGATGCCAAATCCTAGAGAGGGAGACAAATGGGGAAAAGTTGAGGTACTGTGGAAGCAGAGACAAACTTGCTCGGGAAGGGAGCCGGGGGAGGGCTAGCAGGTAGGGAAGATGTCACCATTTGTCCCCAGTGGCCTTCCCAATGCCCAGGGCCATCCTGGTAGAAGTCAAGGGCAGACACTTGTGTTCCTAGTGCCCCCAGGATGTAGTTGGAATAACCCCACTTCCTTATCTGGCCTGGGTTCCCGGGATGCCTGGCCCCTGCCTGTCACTGCTCCCTCTCTCACCATCGTCCCTCTCCTTGAGGGGACCAAGTTCATTCCTGCCTTAGGGCTTTGCACCAGTTGCTCCTGAACTGCTCTTTCCCCAGATAGCGGATGCTGGCTTCTCTTCACTCGGGTCTCAACTCTGGCCAGGTGCAGTGGCTCACACCTGTAATCCTAGCACTTCGGGATGCCGAGGCAGGAAGGTCGCTTGAGCTCAGGAGTTCGAGACCAGCCTGAGCAAGAGCAAGACCCCTGTTTCTACTGAAAATAGAAAAATTAGCCAGGCATCATGGTACACACCTATAGTCCCAGCTACTTGGGAGGCTGAGGCAGAAGGATCGCTTGAGCCCAGGAGTTTGAGGTTACAGTGAGCTATGATGACACCACTGCACTCTAGCCCAGGCAACAGAGAGAGACTCTGTCCCCCCTAAAAAAAAAAAAATCTAAATTTCAATGTAAAAACTGATCCTTGATTCAGTTACTGGAAAATTTTTAAGCATGTTTGAAGCCACTTACGTATGTGAATCTACTTTTTGATTGCAAATTTTATAAAATCTAGATATAGATCCAGTATTTGCAACAACACTTTAACACCTCAACGGAGACGTGCTGTAAATGCAAAATATTCCCTGGATTTTGAAGACTTAGCATAAGAGAAAAAATGCAAGATGTCTCATCAACGATTTTTAAATGTTGATTACATGTTGAAATAATATTTTGGTTATATTGGGTTAATATATTATTGAAATTCTTTTCATCTGTTTATTTTGACTTTTTCACATGACCACTGGAAAATTTAAAATCATACATGGCCTGCACAAAGTCTCATCGGATAGTGCAGGACCTGGGCCCCCACCTCTGTGGTTCCTTGGATGTCACCTTGCTCTATTTTCTTTATGGCTTTTATCACTATCTGAAATTACCTTTGCCATTTATGGATTTCCTTGTCCGTCTCTGCACAGCCATGTGCACCAGCAAGTAAAACGGAGGGAGCCCTGTGCGTACACCCAGTACCCAAGACAGTGTCTGGCCCCAAGTGGGCTCCGTGGCAGTTGTCAAATAAATCAGTGGCCTAACAGGAGAGGCCGTGGGAGCGGTGGCGCATCCTCACCTGACCTCTGATGTGCAAAGTGGTGCTTGACGTGGTAGGTCTTCATGCTGTACAGGTAGGAGCCTTTGTGCGGCGAGCCGAAGTGCAGGTAGTAATGGGTCATGTCGTAGAGCACGTAGCCCAGGAGGCCCCCTGCAAACACAGTGCCTCCCACCGCCGCAGGCAGGAGGAGCCGTAAGCATGCGTAGATGAAGGCGATCACCAGAGAAGCTGGCACAGGGGGGAAGACCAGGCGGGAGCCGTCGAAGGGCGCCTGTGGATGGAGAGGCTTGTGCATCAGAGGGCAGCCCTGGGCCCCGGGGCCTGTCTGTGGTCACAACATGCCCAGCCAGAGGGATGGAGACAGATGGCTGCAGACATCCAGTGAGGGGGCAGCGGCCTGCCGTGGGTAGGCTTAGCACCTTGGGGGGCTGTGGGGAGGGCAGGCCACCATGCCTGGAAGACCTGGAGAGACTGTCCTGCTCCGCATGTGCAAGCCAGGATGGGCCCCAGCAAACCGCCCAGGAGCCCGGGGATGGGAGTGACGCGAGGCAGGACGGGCTGGGTGTGCTGATGGCTCAGAGCCTGCCTCGTGCTCAAGAGGCCACTTTGGCCGTGGCCCTTGTTAGGTGCTAGACAGGAGCCCTGTCCCCCAATACCATGCCCCTGGCTAGAGGACAGGGCACCTAGGCTGAGGCCTGGTTCTCTCTGGGAGGGCAGCATGGCAGAGGCTGAGGTTAATGCAGTCCGTGGTGGGCTGAACCTGGAAGGGTTACTAGAGATGTTCTCTCCACCCCCACATCCAAAGAGGAGGCCTTTTTGGTACAAGGGGTGTTGTCACAATGAACCAGAGAACAAAAGAGCCAAGCCCTTGGCTCTAGAGGTAAGATGTTAAATACCGCTTGGCGAGCATTCTGAGAAGAAAGAGACTCTCCCTGGGCTGGAAGGGAAGAGAGAGAAAGCAGGCAGTAGTGGTACAGCCACACGCTGGGGTGGGCCTCCGTCCCCTTAGACCAGGAGCAGCAGGACAAGTGCTGTGCTGGAGAACCTCTCTCAGAAAAAGGAAGGGAAGGTGAGAGGATGGGAGGGAGGAAGGAAGGGAGGGGGAGTGCTGATGTGTAGTGTTTGCTAATTCTCATGGTGTAAATATTCCCCACCATGGCCAACGTCAAGCTACCAAGTGACATCACTTAAAATGGAGCTGGGAAGTGCACCATTTCTCTCGTGGGCTCGTACGGGCTAGCTCCAGGCCACGACTGGATCAGGACCCTCAGACAGACAGTTTTGGAGATCTGAGAACACGTTCCTGACTAGAGCCCAGGTGGCTAGGGGCCACGCAAGCTCCTCTCGTCCTCACGGTGTGGCAGCAGGAGACTGGACATATTGGTGTGGGAGTGTCTCAGAAGAGGGAGCCTGAGACAGCCCGTGGGGCCCTGGAGTAACCTAAGCAGGCCTCTAGAAGGTTCTTTTGTCCCCTGAGGATGGGAAAGTTAGCTGACAGGGGACAGCAGATCTGAACAGGTATCTCGAGTGGAGCAAGGGACATGGCAGTGGGTGCAGCAAGCCCTGGAGAGCAGAGGCCAGATGGGGCTGGACGTTGACCTGGAGCGGGGAGCCTGGCCAGGCCTGGGCTATGGTCCCTCTTAGAGCACGGCTGAGCAACAGGCTGGCCCAGGACTGGACACCACCCAATAGTGGCTGCCACAAAAGTCCGCTGGGATGCAGATCAACTCTGGGGAGAGCCAGGAAGGGGACATGCCTGACCAGTCTGAGAGCTCTCCCGGAGGCTAATAAAACCAGAAATGGGCTCGTTCAGATGAACCAGACTGAGCTGCCGCCAGGAAACCAAGGTGAGATCTAAGTTCAATATCAGCAACATAAGGGTCTTTGTTTGTTTTCCACATCTGAATTCGTGTCCTGAAAGTGTCACATTTGCCACATTTTCTCTGATTTACACCCAGCAGTGAACAGAATGTGGGGGAAGGGACTCACTTTTGAAGAGACGGAAATGTAACGGGAAGTCCAGAGTGTGGGGCCTGCTGGGGACGCCCCTGGGACAGGCCAAGGGCAGTACGGTGCAGGGACAGAGAAGCCTCCAGAGGGTAGGGCAGACCTGTCATCTAGGCCCAGCTTTTGGGACTGTCCTCGAAGAGCCCCAGGGCAGTGGGTGGTTGCAAGCACAGACTCTGGAGTCCACAGAACTGGGTTGACATCCTGGCGATGCTAGGTGTGACCTGGGGCAAATTCCTTCGTTCCTTAATTTCCTCAGTTTCCTGCTCTGTGGAATGGGGAGAACCACAGCACCATTTCCAGAAGGAAGCTCCACCAGGACAAGGATTTTTATGGTTCTGTTCTATGATGTCTAGAACAGCGCCTGGCACTGAACACTTGCTGGGTGAACGAGTGGACGAACGAGATGCATGAGGGGTGCAGAGTGCCTGCTGTTTGCAACGATGGCGCCCGCCCACCCTGTCCCCGCCTGGCTCACATTACGATGCCTGACCTCCTCTCTGAGCAGTGTCAAACGCCCCTGGTTTCCTGTTGCTCCTAACCCACAGCCAGGTTCCCAGGAAGATCCGCAGCTGCCGGGAGCCGCTCACAGCTGCGAGGCCCACGGCGGGTGGCACGTGCTGGGCGCCCGCCCCACTCACCTTGTGGTGCTGGCCGTGCACGAGGAAGTGCAGCGTGATGAGGTAAAAGCTGTTGCTGGGAGGCTTCATGTGGAATAGGAAACGGTGGATGACGTACTCGAGAAAGCTCCAGAGGAACATGCCCAGCACGAAGAGGACAGGGAACACGGACCCCGGCACCTGCACCGAGTACTCTGCAGGGCGGCAGAGAGAGGCGAGGTCAGGGTGACAGCCGGGGCGTGGCAATGCCTGGTGGCTCCAGATGTCCCGCCTCGCAGCCCCCAGCAGCTGGGGAGCTGCTGCCCTCTGCCATGCAGCTACGAGGCCAGGCCACACTGCTGAGGCCCTTGGGTCCAAGTGGGAAGGAGGCTGGGAGGCTCCGGACTGGGTCTGGGGGGTCCTTTACAGGAGGGTGGGCTGGTGGCCAGGGATCTGCTGTCTTCCTTAGAGCGATGGTGGGAGACGCTGCTACAGCCGTGCTAGACCTTTGCCTGGGAGGGTGACCTTGCCTCGGGGGTGCAGGGGAGGAGAAGGGGACAGTTCTGAGCTGAGGGGGTTACTGATGGAATTATATACCTCATTATGCTTCTGTGGGCATTGTTCTGATGAGATTCTCACAGGGTCTGGGGCCCGTGAGGTTGGCATGCACAGCCCACCCCTGCCTGCTGGGACACCCGGCCTCCCCCCGCCACCCTCCGAATGCTCCTGCTCAGGCTCCATCTTGGAAACCGCCTCTGTCCCCAGGGCCGGAGCCTGGACCCTCCAGCCTCTCTGCTCACTCCCTGACTTCGACCACGCCACGATCTGCACTTCCCCGGGCCCTGGACAGCCCCTTGCTACCAGGTATCTCCACGTGGTCATCCACAGCCCCCAAGCTTCACATCTCCCAAACGAGGCCAGTCATCTTCCTCTTCCTCCCTGCCCACCCCATCACTGTGGCCACTCCTCTTGGGGTCCCTTCCTCAGTGGGGGACCTGACGTCCACACATTACCCGAGGAGTCGGGCTTCAGTTACCTATTCCCGCACATCCAGCTGGTCCCAAGCCCTGCTGGCTGCAGCGCCTTGAGATCTCTTGGCAAAGCAGAAAGCCAGACCCAGAGGCCGCGAATGCGAGATTCCATTTATATGAAATTCCAGAATAGGTGAATCGCCGAGACAGAGCAGACTGGCGGTTGCCGGGGGGAGTGGGGACTGACTGCTCGAGGGTGCAGGGTTTCCTCCTGGGGGGATGAAATGTTTCGGAACTAGACAGAGGTGGCGGTTGCGCAGCACTGAATGTACTAAATGCCACCGAATTGCTCACTTTAAATGGTTAACTTTGTTATGTGAATCTCACCTCGATTAAAGAAAGATACATACATATCTCTTGAGTGAATCCATTGCTCTTAATCCACTGGTACCTTGTCACTTGGTGCCACCACGACAGCATTGTCCTCTCACTGCCCCTTCCTGCCTCCGCTTGCTGTTAAAACCCTTCTGTGGTGCCTCATGATCTTCAGGCAAAGTCCTAACCCCACAGTGCAGCACTCGAGGTCCCTGGAGACCTGAGCCTGCCAGCCTTACCCCTGCCTCCTCTTCTGTCACCCTGCACTTGGGCCAAGCCAGACCACGTGTGGCTCTTTGGATGTGCCATGTGCTTCCCCCCAGCTCCGTACTTTTGCTTGTGTTTCCTTCACTGGAATTCCCTCCCTGCCTTTCCTATCCTTGGAGGTTTGGCCCCAGGGCAAGCCCGCGCAGACGTCCTTTGCCACCCCTAGCTGGGTACACAACCTCTCCTCTCCTTCTGTCACACTGTACCACGCCTGTGCTCTGCTCGGTCGTCCCCTACTAGGTCATGAGCGTTTTATGAGCAGGGTCTGAGGCTTTCACTTTCTATCTCCAGTGATTAACACAGCAGACACTCAGGGACGCATAGGGAGAATAGTAGGTAAGCCTCTGATGGGCTGTGCACGGACGAGATGTGATCCATGCCATTCCAAGGGCAGAACCAGGCCCAGAGGCAGGCAGCTTCGGGTTCAGTTAAGGGAGTGCTTCTGACAGGCTGCAGCTGTATGCATGCTGCGGGCAGGCCCAGGACGGATGACTACACGTGGCTGCCAAGGAAGGGAGGAAGTCCAGGAAGACAGAGAGGGAGAGGTGACCTTCCAGGCTCTTGACACCAGGTTCTAGGCCAACTTCCATCCTGACACATGGCTCCAAATGAATCTCCATGTAATGAAAAGATTTTTCACACCTCTCCTGGGAACTAACATGTGATGCAGCTGAGATTCAACCCCAAAGGGTCCACCTCTCTCAAATCAGGTTTCCAGCTGGTCCAACTGCTCTCATCTGTGGGGCCCGCCATGTCCCATTTGGTACAAGATGCTTGCCTAACAGCTTGGCCGGTTTTGACTGCAAGTGGCCATTTGGCCTTGGCTGGGCTGCTCTGGTTGTCAAGAGACCCTGCTTCCAGGGAAGCCCTGACACCCCTGGGGTCCTTCAAAACACTCTGGTGAAGTGCCGAAGACACAGGCTTTGGATTTGCAGACCTGGGTTCAAATCCCGGCTCTGCACCACCTATGTGTTATAATTTTCTCAGCAGTAAAATATCCCACCCATCTTGACAAGCTGTTGTTAGGATGGAGGTAATACACTATCTGATTATATGGTGAGTACACATTATATAATAATGATATTCATTATAATGATATAATACTCGTGGTATTTAACAAGTAGCTACTATAACTTCTAAACATAAGTCCAAATCCATCTGTCTCAGTTCCAACCAGCAGTCCTGCTCCTGTCCACCTCTGGATTCTCCTTGCAGAGCTCTAGCAGGTCCCAGGTGAGGGAGGAGGAGTTTCCCCGCCCCCTGGCTGTCCCCTGCCCAAAGCCGAGGCGCCTTCCTTGCCACTCAGCTCCCGTCTGCAGGGAAAGGACAGGACACACAGAGCATTCCCTGGCCATAGACTTTGGTCTTGACTTTGCCAGGGCACCCATAACACCATCCCATTTGGGGCCCAAGTCCTTATCTAGGACGGTGCACAGCAACGGGGTGGCTGGCACTTCCCCTAACACCCTCAGGAACTGTTCTGGGGCCATCCTGACTTTGCGGAACCCCTCTGGCTTTGCAAAGCATTTTCACACATGCATCTAGGAATTTCAGCATGAAACTGCTGTTCAGCAGCGCCACTGCCGCTTGGCACCCTGACTCTTCAGCGTTTATTCCAGCGTGTCTTTGTCCAGCAGCTGTACTGGGGCCCCGCCGAGTCTCCCCTCGCCTGGCTTTGTGGGCTCTTATTTTCTCTGCCTGCGGCTTGTGCCTTGCATGACAAGCTGGGGGATGAAGGAGGCACGTGGAGACGTGGCTCTTGCGCCTCCACTGCTGGCATCGTGGTTACAGGCTTACTAACCTCCCACACTGGACCTTTATACGACAGGCACATTTTAGCTCTCTGCAGGGGCCTGCCAAGCAGACAGGGCCCTCGAATCACCCTCCCCACCATGCAGAAAGTCCCCTCCTATAGGTCAAGCCTCCGCCCGCCCCCTCACCCCAGCATCACCCCTGTCTGCCCATCCGGCTGGAGCTGGTACTGAGTGGCATCTCGGGAGGAATCCGGCAGAGGGACCTGGGCCAAAGCTTCAGTGTCCCCTTCCCCCTCCGGCCGCCAGCCCTGGAGGCCCTGCCACTGTTTGTGATTGTTAGGGGAGTGCCGGCGGACAGTGGGCGATTCAGGGAGCAGGGCTCTGAGCAACAAGCCCCGTGCTGTGCCCGAGCTATTCAGTGTGGGCAGAAAAGGGTAACCTTGGCTCGTGGGGCAACTGCAGTAACCCTTGGTGACCAGAAGCAGCTCCGGGCTGGGATCAGGGGACTTCCCCCACTTGCCTCGGGTCAGGTGGATAAACCAAAGCTCCTGGCACTGTGACCCTAGTCCCCACCCCCCACAACCATTCAGGCCCTTGACTTGCTCCTCCCAGAGATGTGGCCAGGAGAGACGCCCGGGGTATGGGGAAAAGAGCTCAGAGCATGAGTCCGGAGCATGGGGACTGAGCAGGGAGGGAAGCGCGGCTGATAGGCATGGCAGTCCTGGCACCTCCCTGGGGCAGGCCGGGCCCGGGCGGACAGAACACCCAGGCAGACGGCTGCACCTGGAGGCCCCAGGCAGGCAGTGGGCTTGTGGGGCCAGCTGGCAGGCCCCGTGGCCGTCCTGACTCAGTCCCATAGGCTCTTTGGACATTATCTCCTATCAGCCCCACTCTCTGTCCCCTGCCCCTCAACTAGAAGCTGGGAGCACCTGGTATCCTCATCCTAGCCACATGGCCCTGAGACACTCCCTCGGTATCTCTGAAGCTCCATGTCCTCAACTCTAAAAGGGGACAATGATAGGACCCTTCACATGGGGCTGGTGGGAGGGATAGATGAGGTGGTCCCTAGAAAGCACGTGGCCTGGCACATGGCAAATGCCTCACAGAGGTGAGTTGTTACTCCCAGTCTGGGGATCGGCTGCACGGCCCTGTGCCCCGGAGACCCTGTAGGATACCCCCAGATCTCTCCCAGGTGCTCTGCTCATCTGTGCAGTATTCATGGACCAGTCTGAGTCCAGCTCCCAGCTCTGCCACTGGACAAAGTGACTTCATTTTCGTTTAGTTTCTTGCCAAAGAATCCCAGGTCGTACATTTTCTGGTATTAGACTCAGTGAGAAGCCCTCTTTTTTTTTTTTTTTTTATTGCTACATCGGCTGACAAAACAATTTCATTTAGTTTCTGCTGATGTGTTGTTGGATTTTGTATCCATCTTGGGGGTGGGTGGGAGTCTGACAAAATGTTTCTTTTCTACAGAGAGGCCTCGCTTAGAGATGTTTGTGGTGTGGTTTGGGGGTTCTGTGCTCTCAGAAACTCAGGAGTGGGGAGGACACCGAGGTCTCCTGCCTCCAGGACCCACGCGAGCAAGTCAGGAGGGAACCTGGCATTACCTGTTGTGAACGTCGTGAAGAGTCGGACGTTGCCCTGGGCCAGGGTGTGGTAGTAGGACCAGCTGAGGTACAGCGCCAGGGGCACCCAGATGATGGGGACACTGTACCTGCAGGAGGGCCGTCAGGGTGAGAGGGACACACGCACAGGGGCTTGACAGGGTCCAGCTTTCCTCAACTGGAAGGGGGACAAGATGACACCAAAGCACATGCAGAAAGCATATGGAGACCCGGGGCAAAGGGACACAGGTGTGGGGGATGGAGAAGACAGTCCATCCGTCTCCTGTCTCTGAGATGAGTTACTGGCAGAAAAGAACTGCATCCCCATGGCTACTGACACTATGCAACCGGATAGAAGGATGCTGACCACTTGTGGCAGAGGAGCAGAATTGCAGGCAAAATTGTTTCCATGGGTGTTAGAGGTTAGAAACCCCTCATAAGAGTCGGGAATAAACCAGGGGTAGCATCGAAAGAGGTTTCTGGCTACATGTTGGGCCGTCACCCACTCAGTAGACAAAACCATGCACAGGAATGAATTATGCCTATGGCATGTTTCACCCTCCCCAAGAACTTACAGCACAGCCCTGGGCTCTGGGGAGAGACCCAATTGCCCCTTCCCCTTCCATATCTGATTGGCACCGTCAGGAGAGGGACAGCCTGCCACAGGCGCAGGGAGCAGCTCACCAGGCAGTCTTGGAGAGGGCCTCTACGAAGTCTGAGTAGAAGAGGCGGATGGGTCTGGTCACCGGCTGGTGGACCCACTCATCATACTTCTCTCCCAAGTGGCCCACCTGCCACAGGAGAGGTTTTTGCCAGTCTACCAGGTCCTGCAAGAGACAAAGTCAAGTGGACACTTGATATTCATATCTTCCCACATTCATTTTCCCATCTCCTGGTTATAGTATCCCAATCCCCACTCGCCACCTCAGCTCATGTGGTCTATGTGGGACACCCACCCTCTTGCTTCAGGCATGCAGCACTGACCAAGCTGCTCACCCCAACCCCCTGGCCAAAGCAGTGGGGTCCAGTGCAGGCTCACGACCTCAGCTGGTGCAATGAGCCATCAGACGCCCTCTCTTCCTGCTGGAGTTGCTAAGTTGGCAGGTGTGAGCCTGGAGTTGCTAGCGGAGCCTGCCTGAGGTCTCCACCTACACAGAGGATGGCCAAGCCAAGAGCCAGAGGGACAGAATCCTGGTGATGATACCTGAGCACCCAGATTCAGCCACACCTGAAGCTTGAAGCCTTGCCCAGGACTCTTTAGGTACAGGAGGCCACACATTCTGTATCAGGAATGAAGTAGGCCCTTTTCCCTCCATCACAGGCTTTCTTCTTGGTGTCAGTCTGGGTAATTCGTTCATTCATCCATTCAATCATTCATTCGACAATTGGTTTAATATTAATATTTCATATATTAATATTCATATATGTGTGTGCTAGGTGCTGAGAAGATCCAACAGGAACAAAAGAAACCATCTTTGCTTCATATTGCTTAGTGGTTTATCAGAGTTTAGACTCTGGAGTGAGGCCTGGGTACAAACCCTGGCTCCACCACTTACTGTGTGACCTTAGGAAAATTGCTTAACCTCTTCAAGCCTCAGTTTCCCCAAATATAAAGTGGAAGTAATAATAATAGTACCTACATCAAGTGCTCAGCAAGATGTGGCATGCGAACAAGATAGTTTAGTGGCCATTTAAGGCAGGCTGAGATCCAGAGAAAGAATAATTGGTACAAATCCCTGGGTCCAGGGTAGGCAAGGGCTTTGCAGAGGACCCAGGGTTTGGGTTGGAGCTCATACAACATGGAGGACTTGGCAAGGGGGAGAGAGGAAGGGACAGAGGGGAGTGTGGGCACAGACATAAAGTTGAGAAGAACAGTGGCCCATCTGGCATCTTGACACTGTTCTGTGGACAGCAGGAGGAAATCTGCTGAGGGCTTTGGTAACAGAAGACCCTGAATCCAGGAGTTGGTGCTTCATTCTCTAGGCCAGCTGTCTGCAAGGCAGTGATATATGTGTACCCCAGCAGTATTCACGGGCTGACCCTAGAGGCAGGGACAACATATTGGAGATCCTGTTTCTACTTTTCTATTTGTGTTTGTTATATATTCATCTCATTTTTTTTTTCCAGATTCAGGTTCTCACTGTGTTGCCCAGGCTGGACTCAAACTCCTGGGTTCAAGTGATCCTCCTGCCTCAGCCTCCCAAGTAGCTGGGACTAAGATGCATGGGCACCCGGTTTTACCTCACCTTTAAATTACAGTCGAATGTGTTCTAATGCACAGAATACAAAAGTACATTAGCACACACAAATACTTTATAGATAATTAAAATGGAGCCACTCTAGGTACAGTGGCTCAGACCTGTAATACTAGCACTTTGGGAGGCCGAATCAGGAGGATTGCTGGAGGCCAGGACTGTGAGACCAGCCTGAGCAACATAGTGAGACCCCGTCTCTACAAAAAATAGAAAAATTAGCCAGGCACGGTGGCACATACCTGTAGTCCCAGCTACTCAGGAGGCTGAGGCAAGACGATGGCTTGAGCCCAGGAGTTTGAGGTTGTAGTGAGCTATGATGATGCCACTGCATACTAAACCGGGCAACAGAGCAAGACCTTGTCTCAAAAAAACAAAGCACATATAATGCAGAATGTGCTCAAAAAGTTTCACTGACAGGGATGTAGGATTAGAAAAGTCTGGAGGCCGCAGATGTAGGCAATGGGAAGCCCTTCAAGATTTCTGATGAGTCAGTGTCCTAAAGATTAATCTGGACCCAGATCAGTGAAGAACAGTGAACTTGCAGTCCGGGGACCACCTTCGAAGCCTGGCTCTGCCATTTATTGGCTGTGGGACCCTGGACAGGTGTCTGTACCTCTCAGAGCCTCTCAGCTCTCTCATCTGTGAAGCCACCCACCACCCACAGTGGAGTGAGGATGAGGGTGTCGCACGGTGGGTGCTCCACCTCCAGTACAAGGGAGCTCCCACTTCGGGTGGAAGGGGTGGGAGTGGCGGCAAGGAGGGGGAGGGTGAAGGGCTGTAAGTGGTGGAAGAGCATGCAAGCCAGCGCTGATTCTGGAAACCTGCCTTCCTGTGGCCCTGGCTGGAGTCTCGTCCTCGCACAGGCCTCCCTGCCAGAGCTGGCTCAGCCCCAGCGGGTTTTCCAGAAACCAGCCTTCATGAGCTCCCAGCTCCTGTGGATGTGAAGCTAGTCTCCACCACAGCCTTGGGGCAGGGGCGTGGGGGGCCAGGAGCAAGCAGGCAAGGCCACTGGGCACTCTCCCTGTGCCTGTGCCCAGAATGAAAGGCCCAAGGAGCTTGTGGCTCTCGTCATGTGAACTTGGCAGGTTCCAGGTGCTGGCTGCTTTCTAGTGGCATGTGGGGCGGGGAGGGCGGGGTAGGTCACTTCCTGCTTCTCCAGGTCAGCCCAGAGCCATCCTGCCACAGCACCAAGTCAGGCAACAGCCCAAACCCCGCCCAGTCACTGCTCCCTTCCTGACCCAGCCTCCTTGACCTCAGCCCTGGGTCTAGCAGCAAACGGGTTCACTGGATGCATGCGGTCTCATTCCTTCCATTCCTCCACCCCAGGTCTCCAAACACACGCGCACACACACATACACACACACACACATGCACACACATGCACACACACGCGCACACACACAAGCAGTACCAGGAAGAAGAACCAGAAGAACTAGCTCTCAGTCTGTGTTTACACCTTATCTCGCAGCAGCCTGCAGAGCCCCACCTTAGAGGCTTGGTCAGGGTCACAGTGAGCACTTGAGGCTTTGTCCCAGCTGCAGTAACACTGACAGCTGACACTCACGGAGCACAGGTCATGGGCCAAGCATGATTCTAAACACCTGACATGTATTCAATCATGTGATCCTCACCGTACTCCTGGCTAGGCAGGCACTCTAATAACGGTCATTTTGTAGATGGGGAAACCGAGGCTGAGTAACCTGCCTGAGGCTGCCGAGTTATATCTCCCTGGTGAGCTGGCCCCTTCGTCATTGGGAAACAGCCATCGTGGTCCCTGGTAATACTCCTTGTTCTGAAGTCCTCTTTGGTAGTAATAGAACCAATCAGCTTCCTGAAGCTTGGCGTGTGCCTGGTCTTTTCCACTCTTCGACTTCCAACCTGTGTGTGTCTTTACATTTAAAGTGCATCTCTTGCAGGCAGGATATATTTGGGTCTTCCTTTTTTTTTTTTTTTAAATCTACCCAATCTTTGCCTTTTAATTGAAGCGTTTAGTCTATTTACACTTATTGTTGGAGTAGGTCTACCCTTGTGCTAGTTTCCATTTCTCTCCTCTGTTCTTCCTTTGTCTTGTTTGCATTAACTATTTTAAAGTCCTCTACATTATCTCCTCTATGAGCTTTTCAGCTATGCCTTTTTGTATTTTACCCCCAGTTGTTGCTCTAAGAATAGTAATATACATCCTTATCACCACCTATCTTGAATGAAATCCCTGATTTTTACACGTCCCACTTTTGCATGCTACACAGAACACCCCTCTGCCTGTGTTTCATTTGTACACTTAATTCAGACTTAGCTCACTTCGATGATGAATGTTTCTAGCTATAGCTCAGGGATGCAGTCAGACGGGCCCCTCTCTCAGCCTAGTGGTAGTTTGTGCAAGTTTTTATCTATTGATCCATTTTGCCCTTAATTTGTAAAGCAGGTAGAAAACAGCATATGATTCATAAGTTTAATTCAGTTGAGACACAGAAGAAAGGTCTAGGTAAGCAACAAGCAGGGGCTCCAGCCTAAATCTCACACTCTGTTGTGAAGGGAACAGAACGAAAGGAGGGAGCAAGTATGAGAAACTGGAGCTAGACTTCCGATGGGGTGTTCACTGGGGTGGTGGGAACAGAGCCCCCCACACAGGGGTCTGCTGTTTGATGTCCTGTTGCCAATATGACATTCGGACATGATTCAGTTACTCCCTGGGAAGACCAGCAGGCACCAGCCACCTGTACAAAGGGTGGGTTTGCTGTCTGGAGTCAGTCCCAAGGCTGCCTCTGGTCCACCTGTGGCCTTGGCGGGCCTTAAACCCAAGTTCCATATCCAGCCCACATTGCATCTCCATGAGGCAGCCCTCAATGGTGCCTAGGAAAAGTCAACCCAGAGGAATCCCAGGAAGCCCCTGCTCTCCCCACCAAATGCCTCCCTCTGTCCTCAATGGCCAACATCTGTAATTCTACCACTGGGGCCCTGTCCTATTGTTCCAGGGAAAGTAAAGTGAGCCTCCCACATAAGTGCAGAAATCCAGGCCTGCTGACCTCCTCCCCATTTTATGGATGAGAATACTGAGGCCCAAGAGGCCAAGTGACTCTTGAGATGGGGTTGGTTGGTCCTAGAGTGGGAACCTCCCTTCCCCCTTCCTGCAGCTAATAGCACCCTCCACACAGTTTCCCAAGAGCTGGGACATTCGCCCTGTGTGCTTGGCCTTGGTTTTAGGCGGTACATGTGCTGATAGGGTGTCCTTTCCCAATTCTCTTCCAGTCCTGATCACTGAAAGAGCAAGTCTCAGCTCCGTGCTAACGGGTCCAAGGCCTCTGCTGGTCACTTCCAACACGGCAGCTGGCTGGGACCTGGTTTGGAGAAGGGAGGACGGCAGATGACTGCTCAGGACCTAACCAGATGGGATCTCACTTCCTACTCTTCCTGGCCAAAGACCCCTGGGCCCCTTAGCCCTCCCTCACACGTGGCTCTCTTCTTCCCAGTTGGCGCCTGGCCCTGGCCCCACCCACTCTTACTTCCTAAGGCTTGGGGGACACAGGGAAGGCCTGGGCAAAGGTCTGTGGCCTCTGTAGGAGGCTGGGGGGTGG